ACAGAAGGCCCAGATTGAAATTACAGGCCTGCCAGTTGGAGAGTTGCTTGGTGCAGCCCTGGGTGTTGAGGAAAAGACCAGATACTGGCTGGCATGTGAAAACTACCCACAGTCACATATTTCAGTTCTGGAGTCATGAGAAAGTCATCTTTTAACCGCACAGCAGCAGGAAATTCTGGCCTGGGGCACAAGAGTTTACGGACCCAGGGTTCTATTGTTTACACTGCAATGAAAATTCTCACAATTTCCATCTGAGACCTTGGCATAATATAATTTAATTCAGCATTCTAAAAAGAGTCTTTGAGAGTTTGGTGGCAAACACTTATAATTCTACCACTGGGCTGGCAAAGACAGGTGAATCGGAGTGCTTTTTGGGGAGCCTGGTCTCAATAGAAGACTCAACTACATCCAAGACTTCAAGCTGAGACACTCCCAAAGATAAAAAAAAAGAAAAAAAAGAAATGTGTGTTTTGGCGCTGACTTCTTAATGTCACACTGTAGAGCATGGAAAAGCACAGTATGCTATTTAGTGGTATCAGATCACATAATTTTCACGGTTAGAAAGGCATTATAAAGCAGGTATTCTTAGCATTCGAGAAGCAGGTGGATCTTGGAGATTCATTCCAGCCTGGTCTGCAGTAAGAGTTTAAGGATAGCTGGGATTATACAGAGAAACCATGTCCCCAGGGTGTGGGAAAAGAGGAAAAAATAGAATGTAGTATAATTCAGGAGAAAATATAAAAGCATCATTTTAAGAGTTATGTCAACTCATCTATAGTAGAAAAGAATCCATAAATGTCTTTTGTCTGCTTGGCCCAAGGTAAGCACTCTGTCCATGGACATATGACCAAACTTATTTTCAGTTCTTCTGTTTACTATGTTTGAGAACTGAGCTCACAGTCTTTCTCTGTATTAACCTGTTATTAACATGTGAAACACACTGAACTAGACATCAGAGAATTCCTCCACTGTTTCTCCTAAGTACTAAGAATAATGGTGTGCACAAAAACAATTGTTCCAACTTGTAATATTTTGTTTATGCTCTAACAAATAAAGCTTGTCTGAAAAATCAATGTATAGAGCTAGCCACTAGATAGAAATAGAGGCCCGGCAGGAGTGGCACACACCTTTAATCCAAGCATTTGAAATGGGGAAAATTTCAAGGCCACCATGTACTACAAGAGATTGAATTATTCTCAAAGAGAAACTGAACTCACATCTTTAATCTCAGCACTGGGGAGATGGAGACAGAAAGTGTTTTGGCTTAGCAGAGGGAGGTATATAAGGCAGGGAGAGAGCCAGCTCACCCCATTCAGTCTGAAGAGTGCTAGACACAGGTTCTCCTCCTTTGGGCCTGAGGGCTCAGGAGAGGTAAGTTGTCTCACTTGGTACTGGGTCTTTGATTCTCTAATCTTTCAGCATTAACTCTGATTTCTGCCTCGGGTTTATTAAGACTAATTAGTATTCTGGCTACAAAACCTGTTTTGTTTTGTTTTGCTTTGTTTGGTTTGGTTTCATGACAGGGTTTCTCTGTATTTTTTCAGAGGCTTTCGGTCCATCCCAGCCTCGAACTCACAAAGATCCTCCTGCCTCTGCATCCCCGCCCAGGTGCTGGGATTAAAGGCGTGCACCACCACCACCCAGCAAACCTGTTTTGTTTTAATTTGTATTTTGTTAAACCCTAGTGATATAACTGTGGACATTTTACAGGATGAGGGTCAATGTATGCATCTTACTTAAAGTGCTTTGTACTCAGAAATGATGTCATAGTGTTGATGAAGTCTAGCATTTGTGAGTGAGAACAGCTTGTTTGCCCCTACTCTATATTTCTTGGAAAATTACATCTAAAGTGTATTTCCCTTTGGCAAATTTACAGCTTACAACAAATTTGATGTATAATGAATTTTTATCATATTCTTTTACAGTACTTTGGTCCTGAACACTCAGTTCCATTTGTACTTCTGATATTTGACTGGGAAGTGATTCGAAGTGGCATTCAAGTTACACTCAGTGAAGATGCTTGCCTTTTTTTGTTTTATGAGACAGGGTTTCTCTGTATTGTTTTGGAGGCAGTCACTGTAGCCTGGCCTCGAACTCACAGAGATCTGTTTGCCTCTGCATCCCGAGTGCTGGGATTAAAGACTTGCACCACCACATGGCATTAAACATGCTTTCTATGTATTTTCAGTACTATGACTCTGCATGACAATAGAGAATCACTTGTAGAATACTGTATCTTTATCTACTGAATATAGAACTGAGTTAGAAATCTAGGTACTTTCTAATGATCTCTTTGTCAAGTACAGGGCTCACTGATCACCAAGACCTGCTCACCTGTGAAACCGAACAAGGAGCCCTGGAAAACAGAGATAGAGGAGACAGTAGCTAATGATCTGATGAGACAAATTCACTTTTGCCTCAGTCTGTTTCACTATAAATAATTTTAGAGACATCTACTGATAAAGATCATAGAATTATCCTGCTATAGCTACAAGAATTTCCACATGAGAATTGATAGTAGGAGGCAAATCAATTTTATGTGAATATGCATGTGATTCATGCATAATGAATATGGTTCTCCTCCAAGATCCACCCTTCCCTAGCTCCCAGAAACAGTCTAGGATTCCAGGGCTAGACATGATTTCCCTCTTGTTGAAGAGGACTTAAGTCCAATTAGAAGCTGTTGGTTACCACCAATTTGTTTGTGCCACTACAGCACCCTTCGTGTTATCATGCAGGGTAGATCTTTGTTATGGTGAATAATTTTCATACCTGTGTAGGATGTTGGTTCCCTCTCTTAATAGCTTGTATGTTGGCTCTTGATACCAGGAAAGCTAGTCCCCAGTCAGAAGGGTTTATATTCTATTCCACATCAAGGCTACTTGGTGTGACTGAAGCACATGGCTTCATCAACTCTAGGGTCTCACATGCTACTCCTGGGAGGGAAAGTGGACAACCACAGTAGACTGTAATGTTTTTGAAATCTCAAGGAGTGCAGTGACCAACAATATTAAAGCAGGCTGTTGTGGGTGATTTGCAACAAATTTGTGGTACTTTTGAGGGGCATTATCAGCTTAGAAAGAAAAATTTCATTTATGCTCTAACTGTATATCCTTTCAGGGGCTTAGATATATTATAGGCATTTTGATAGACGGTAACAGTAAAAATCCTTATGACATTTTCAGACATCCATGGTGTTATTTTGCTCTCTCTGTCTCTCCTGTGTTTATGTCTGTTCCTCCATCATTTATCTCACACACACACACACAGACACACACACCACACACCACACACACACACACACACACACACACCACACACACACACACACACACACACACAATCCGTATTGATTGCATTTCCCCATTCTTACATTATTTTTTCCTGTTTTTTCTACTGTCCAGTTTCTCCCCTCCCCACAGGAATCTCCTTTTACTTGTCTGTTTATACCAGTTACTCCTGGTTGTATTCTCACATTTGAAGAGTTAGAGTTAGAAACTTTCTCTTTCTTTCTGGATCTGACATGTCTCACTCAATGTGATGTCTTTAGAGTTACACATTTAGCTGCAAACACCATGATATCAAGTTTTTCTTACAACTGCATAGTATCACATGGTGACACATATTCCCATCCCAGTTTCTCACCCACACATTTTCATGTATACACAAACTGCCTGTATGTTTTGTGCAGGTACACATAAAATACTCCCTGTGCTCACCACCTACCTTTCTACTCCACTGTGTTTCTCTCTATTGATTTTACTTTAGACCCACTGGATTAACTGGGGACTTTTGTGAGACTGAGAATTTGGTTCTGTGTGTTGGAGCTTGGCTCAGGAGAATATTACACCTAAGGAAAATGTATCTCATCCTAAAATGCATCAATACAGAGAATTTGAGAGATAAAGGTAGCGCTCTGTGTGTCTTTCCCTTTCCTAGACTGATTTAGTGATTGTGGTCTAGTATGGGGTCAATGCAAGTAATTACAGGTGTGGTTGGTTACTGATTACAACAGCTGTATGGAGTCTAGTTAATAGCATGTCTTAAGCAGGCATGGCCACACCTTTAATCTCAGTACTCTTGATATAGAGGCAGATAGATCTTTGTTAGATCAAGTCCTCACTGGCATATACAAGAATCATACAGTCTAAAAGAGAAAGGGAGCTCAGACCTTTGATCCCTGCAATTAGGATCACAAGCCTTTATTCCCAGGACCTAGGAAGGGGAGAACAGGATTGATGGCTGGTTGGAGAGAGGAATATAAAGCAGGAGGAGACAGGATCAGTACAACATGAGGTTTGGTGGAAATCATTGCTGTCTGAGGATTCCTTGAGACAGTATTGCCCATTGTGACTGACATAGAGATAAAAGCTAGGGGTTGGCCTCTTCATTTTTCTAATGTTCAGTCAAGCTTTATTTGTTATATTATAACAAAATATCACTACACATACCCTACTTATTTTCTGCATTTGGTCTTGACTTTCACTTAAGTGTAGGTGGTGACTGTGTGTTGGGTTGTGGTCTAAGCACATTAGTTAGTATCAGCCACAGAAGGCAAACACGTTTTTGAGTTATTAAAATGATAAGACCAGCTGGCGTTGGTGGCACACGCCTTTAATCACAGCACTCAGGAGGCAGAGGCAGGCGGATCTCTGTGACTTCGAGGCCGGGTTGGACCGACAGCCTCCAAAACAATACAGAGAAACCCTGTCTCATAAAAACCAAAAAAATGATAAGACCACCATGTACTGATGGCAGAAATACAGTGAATGATAAACTCAGAAGTTGACTATTAACATGCGCTGATCACTAATTAATTGAGACACATATTTGGGGGGTGGAGGCATGGTTTCTCTGTGGTTTCAGAAGCTGTCCTGGAACCAGCTATTGTAGACCAGGGTGATCTCAAACTCACACCACTCTGCCTCCTGAGTGCTGGTATAAATGGTGTGTACTATAACTGACCAGCCTTTTTCTTTCTGTTTTGGTTTTTAGAAACATGGTTTCTCTGTATGTCTTTGGAGCCTGTTCTGGAACTTGATCTGTAAAACAGACTGGATTTGAACTCACAGTAATGAGCCTGTCTGTGCCTTTCCTGTGTGAGTCTTTTTTCCCAAATCATAATTCTCTCACCAAGTCATAATTGCTATATTTCGTTTTGGCTTATTAGGTTTCTGTTAGAGATGGGATACAGGCATCATATTTAGTTTGTTTTTGTTGTTGTAAATTGAACCCTGAGATTTTCATTGTTCAATTGAGGTGAGGTTACCTAATTCTATCTGTGTGAGAAAGATACTGGGATACAGAGACCTCTTATATTCAGTTCTGCTCTAATCAGGCTGCAAGCATGCTGATAGGCTGTGTGGAAGCAAGCTCAGGTATCCTGAAGTTAACTGTGTGGAAGATAATATGAGATAGCGGGACAGAGTGGTGCATTGTGGAAGGACCACTCACCTGTAAAGATATGTTGGGAGGAGTTTAGACTTTAGATGGTTGAAGAGAAAGACTGCAGAGTGGAAGAAGCTATAGAACTCTCAGTAATTGGATTTTGGGATACCAAGTGGGTGAGGGGTGTAAAGTTCCACTGTGAAGATAAAGAGTTAAGTGTCACAGACAATGATCAGATATAACAACCAGGCCTGCAATGTTGGGAATTTCTGGTGCAGATAGGGTGCTGAGGAAAAGGACAGATACTCACTGGCACTCAAAAACCACAGACAATCACAAGATCCAAGTGAGGAGTCATAGGAAAGTCACCAGTCAACAGCACAGTGACAGATAAACCTGTCCTGGGATATAAGGTGTAAGGGTCCAAGGATACAAATAGTTTCTCTGTTGTTTATAAAGGATCTGGCTCTGAATTTCTGCTGCAGATGCCTTAACATTATGAACAAATTTCATATTATATGCACTGGACTACTATTCCTCATTTATTGATACTCAAGCAGCATCATTCTGCCGAGCAGTTGGATGCACAGCTGGATGAAGACAATGCACAGATGGACACCAGTTAAACAGCCGGGCAAATCCACAGAAGTGACAGAACCCAGAAGCTTCGTCCTTAATCTCTAGAGGGAGGGTTGGCAATTGGACTGTGAAGACAATGGTGGATTTCTTTTTGTTTGTCTCTCTCTCTCTTTTTCCCTGTTTTAAAATGGGATCTAAAATCTCATGTAAAGGATTTTTTTCTCTTTTTTTTTAAATTCTGAAACAGACCTGTTTTGTACCGAGTTATTTTGGCGATCAGTTTTACTGGTTACTGTTGTGGAGAAGGAGGCATGTTCACCTTTGCCATAATAAACTACAATTGTCTGTAGGAAAGAAAATAAAAAGAGAATTCTGGCTACAAAACCTATTGTGTTTTAGTTTGTTGTGAGCTGACACCTAGTGGTGAGACTGTGTAATTCCCACAGGAGGAGGGTCAATGCCTGCAGCCTGCTCAGGGGGATTTTTACAGAAAATGGATGTGGCAGAGATGCAGCAGTCTGCTTTCTGTGGGTGAGAACAGTTTGCTTGCTGTCTCCCTTGCTCCTCCTGAGGGTTTCATGGAAAATTACTTGTTAAGTGTATTTCCTTGGGGTAGATTTTCTTTAAATTGGTCTATATTAAATTAAATAATTCATTTTGTGTGCTTTTGTGATCCCAAACATTCAGTTCCATTTCTGCTCCTGAGGTTCACTGGGAAGTGATTGGAAGTAGCATTCAAGTTACACTCACTGAAGGTGGTTTCTAGTTATTTTCGGTGTTTTGCCTGTTTATGTCAAATGGGGAATCATTGTAGAGTCCTATATCTTTAACTACTTGAGTACAGTTCTGTGTTAACAATGCAGGTACTTTCCTTCTGATTGACCTCTTTCTCATGTTGGGGGCAATTAATCCCCCAGATCTGCTCACCTGCAGAGCCAGATAAAAAGTCCTAGAAAGTGGAGAGGGAAGAGACAGTAGTGAATGACCCAGTGGGACACAATTCAGTTTTCCCACATTCTGTTTTACTAGAAATAATTCTATTGACTTCCAATGAGAAAGGTATCAGAATTATCTTGCTATAGCTATGAGAAGACTTTCTACGTGAGAATTGGTACTAGTTGTTAAATCAATCTTATATGAATATTCACGTGAGTCATGCATAGTAGATTTAGGTTCCAGAACTAGGCTTTCAGTTCCAGAAATGACTTTTCTGTCTTTGAGTACTCCTTAAGTCCAATTATAAGCTGTTGGTTGCCACCAATGTATGTATGCTGTTCTTTTAACCTTCAGGTTATCATGCAGTGAAGTCCATTGTTATGGTTCATAATTTTCATACCTGGAAAGGGCTGTTGGCTCTATTTTGGGGGAAGTCTTGTGTATTTGTCAATAGTGTACTGTTGGCCAATAGCAAACCAAGATAGGTGGAACAAAGAGTCCAGAAGGACTCTGGGAATGAGAAACACAGAATTCAAGATGTAACGCCATGGGGTAGGAAGCCCGGAAAGTTCTCCAGTAAGAGAAATACTTAGACTATCAGTTATGGGATAAATATTTAAGTCAGGCCTAGCCAGTAAGACACAAGCAAGGCCAACATCTTCATAATTAATATAGATTCCTATGTGTTTATTTGGGACTGATGCAGCTCTGGAACCTGGGGGGCAGGAAGGCTTCCCTTTACAGCACTAAACGTTTACAGATTGCCTTATGATACCAAGAAAGCTAGTCCCCATGGTGGAGGCTTTCAATTCTTGTCCATATCAAGACTCCTGGCTCTGACACAGGGTTGTTCTGTATTGTTTTGGAGGCTGTCGGAACAGCCTGGCCTCGATCTCACAGAGATCCATCTGCCTCTACCTCCCGAGTGCTGTGATTAAAGGCATGTGCCACCACCACCCAGCTAAACCAAGCATTTGAAATGAGGAAATGTCCAAGGCCACCATGCACTACAAGAGATTGAATTATTCTCAGAGAAACTGAGCTCACACCTTTAATCCCAGCACTGAGGAGGTGGAGACAGAAGGGGTGTGGCTTGCCAGAGGGAGGTATATAAGGCAGGAAGAGAGCCAGCTCACCCCATTCAGTCTGAGGATTGCTAGAGGCTGGTTCTCCTCTTTTGTGCCTGAGGATTAAGGAGAGATAAGTAGTCACACTTGGGTTTGGGTCTTTGATTCTCCATCTTTCAGCATTAACTCTGCTTTCTGACTCTGGGTTTACTAAGACTAATTAGTATTCTGGCTACAAAACCTGTTGTTTTAATTTGTGTTTTGTTAAACCCTAGTAATATAACTGTGCACTTTTTACATTATGAGGGTCAATATCTGCAGCATACTTACAGTGCTTTGTACTCATAAATGACTTCCTAGGATGGCAGCAGTCTAGCATCTGTGGGTGAGAACAGCTTGGTTGCTCCTCCTCAGTTTTTCTTGGAAAATTACATCTTAAGCCTATTTCCCTTTGGCAAATATAAGACTTCCAAAAATTTTATGTATAGTGAATTATTTATGATATTCTTTTCTGGTTTTTTGGTCCTGATCTTTCAGTTCCATTTGTACTCATAGGAATTGACTGGGGAGTGATTCGAAGTGGCATTCAATTTACACTCACTGAAGATCCTTTCTTGGTATCTTCAGTATTATGACTCTCCATGACAATGGAGAATCACTTGTAGAATCATGTATCTTTATCTACTGAATATAGTACTGAGTTAGAAATCTAGGTACTTTCTAATGACCTCTTTCGCAAGTGCAGGGCTCACTGATCACCCTGACCTGCTCACCTGTGAAACCGAACAAGGAGCCCTAGAAAACAGAGATAGAGGTGACAGTAGCTAAAGATCTGATGAGACAAATTCACTTTGCCACAGTCTGTTTCACTGTAAATAATTCTAGAGACATCCACTGACAAAGATCTCAGTATTACCCTACTATAGGAACTAGAATTTCCACATGAGAATGGAAAGTAGGAGCCAAATCCATTTTATATGAATATGCATGTGATTCATGTGTAGTAGATTTGTTTTTCCTCCAAGATATATCCTTATCTAACACCCAGACACAGGGTAGGTTTCTAGCATCAGACATGATTTCCCTGTAGTCAAAGAGGTCTTAAGTCCAATTAGAATCTGTTGGTTACCACCAATTTGTTTGTGCCACTACTGCTCACTTCATGTTATCGTGCAGGGTAGATCATTGTTATGGTTCATAGGTTTCATACCTGGGTAGGATGTTGGTTCCCTCCCTTAAAAGCTAGTATGTTGACTCTTGATACCAGGAAAGCTAGCCCCCAGGGAGGAGGCTACATATTCTGTTCCACATCAAGTCTACTGCGTTTGATTGAAGAACATGGCTTCATCATCTGTAGTGTCTCACATGCTACTACTCAGAGGTAAAGTGGACAACCACAGTAGAATGTAGTGTTTTGGAAATCTCAAGGACAACAGTGACCAACAATATCAAAGCAGGCTACTGTGAGTGCTTTGTTTTAAATCTGTGGTTCTTTTGAGAGGCAACATTGACTGAGATGGAAAATTTTTATTTATGCTCTAATTGCATATTTTTTCAGAGACTTAGATATATTATAGGCATTTTGATAGACCATAATATTAAGAATCCCTATGACATTTTCAGATATCCATACTGTTATTTTTATCTCTCTCCTGTGTTTATGTCTGTTCCTTCTCCATTAATCTCTCTCCCTCTCTATCTCTTTTTTTGTATTTTAAGAGACAGGGTTTCTCTGTATTCTTTCAGAGGCTGTTAGTCCAGCCCGGCCTCGAACTCACAGAGATACACCTGTCTCTTCCTACCAAGTGCTGGGATTAAAGGCGTGTGCCACCACTGCCCAGCTTTCCCTCTCTATCTCTTTATCTCTCTCTCTCTCTCTCTCTCTCTCTCTCTCTATCACACACACACACAATATTTATTGCACCCCCTTATTACATCATTGTTTCCTGTTTTTTTCTACTGTCCACTATTTCCCCACTCCCCACATGATTCTCCATTTACTTGTGTGGTTATTCCAGTTACTCCTGGTTTTGTACTTCTATTTCAAGATTTGGAGTGAGGAAATTGTCTTTCTTTCTTGGTCTGATTGGAGTCACTCAATGTTATATCTTTAGAGTCACCCATTTAGCTGCACACATCATGATTTCAATTTTTCTAACAACTGAATGGAATCACATGGTGACACATATCCCAATCACAGTTTCCAACCCACAATTATGCATGGATACACAATCTGCCTCTGTGTTTTGTGCATTCACACCTCAAATATGTATACACCTACCTTTCTTCTCCATTGTGTTCTTCTCTACTGCTTTTGCTTGACACTCACTGGAATAACCCAGGACGTTTGTGAGCATGAAATTTTGTAAGTGTGTTGGAGAGATTGGGCTCAACTGAAGACTACACCTAAAGACAACGTATCTCCATCTAAATTGCATCCATAGAGAGAATTTTAGACTTTAATGTGAGGCTCTCTGAGTCTTTCCCTTTCCTAGACTGATTTATTCATTGTGGTCTAGTGTGAGGTCAATGCAAGTAAGTACAGCTGTGGTTGGTTACTGATTACAACAGCTGTATGGAGTCCAGAGAATGGCATGTCTTAGGCCTCCCTTCTCTTTCCCATCATATTTCCTTTCTTCTTCCAATTCCTCAGTGTTCACAGAACTTTAGATTTAAGGTATAACTGATGTTTTAGTACAGGAAAAATATACCCATAGAGATATTTTGTTTGTATTCAAACAAATGAAATTTGCATAAATAATACATTAGTTGTAACTTTTTAATTTTTGTCAAAATTGCAAGTGTAGATATATTTTGTTTATAATCTAAACAATAAGCTTTCCTTACAATCACACTGCAGAACTAAGTAACTAGTTAGGCACACTCCTAGTTGAGATCAAGTCACTAGTTAGTCTCACCACTATGCCACGAATTAATCAGAGAGTCAATGCAGAGGTGGTCCTGCCTTTAATCACAGGACTCATGAGACAGAGGCAAATGGATCTATGGTAGATCAAGGCCTCCCTGGCCTATGCAAGAATGACTCAGGCTAAAAGAGAAATGGAGCTCCCATCTTTGATCCCTGCAATTAGGATCACAAGCCTTCAATCCCAGGAGTAGAGAGTTGAATATTCATGTGAGTCATGCATAGTGGATTTAGGTTCTTCTTCAAGATATATCAAGATATATCCTTCCCTAATGCTCAGAAATAGGCTAGGCCTCCAGTTCTAGAAATGACTTTCCTGTGGTTGAAAACTCCTTAATTCCAATTATAAGCTTTTGGTTACCACCAATGGATGTGTGCTGCTCTTGCAACCTTCAGGTTATTATGCAGTGCAGACCATTGTTATGGTCCATAATTTTCATA